AATGAGTTCAGATTCAATAGCGAGAGACGATGGACGTGAATAGGCAGTGTAGAATGAGATACAAAAACAAAATGAAGAAAGTTGCCGGCTGTATGTGTATGGTGGTTGGTACGGGATACGAATTCGCTAGTGGAGCTCCGCTATATCGACATCGCAATGCTGTTTGGCGCACTCTTTGACGACTTTTTAGGGTGGTGTGCAAGTATGTGGGTGTTAGGGTTAGCTAAACACGAAGAAACGAGAGATAGCAGTAGAAGGTAGGCTTTTTTGGATGAAATTTCGAGAAACACAAACAAACAAACAAAACCACTCGGACGCCGATGTGCAGAACACACACTGCTCTATCGTAATCCTCTGCTGTATTACTAGCTGCATAGAATGAACGAACAATGGTTCGCGATGAATGAACGATCAATTCAGTCAGAAACGAGCCACATCGATGCATACAACGGGGGAAAGATTGGAGAGAAAAACAGACAGGAACGCTAAGACGGATGATGAACACCGGTGCTGTTGCTGACCAGGGACAGCGTTCTCTTAGGACCGTACACTATCCTCCCCTCAGGGGGACGCATCTCCGCCGCAGATTCTATCCTCCCCCAGCCCAGAGAATCCGAGAGCAGTTTCGGTGCGGGAGCCTCCCAAGACCGCCCCTTCAAATGAGTAGCACAGGTATAGGGCGCTTGCATAGTCAATGGTCCGATCGTGACTGTCGTACAGCATTGGATGCGTATCGATCGTCGAATACTCAGGCGAGTCTGACGATCGATACGCATCTAACTGTGTGCGACCATTACGATCGTTACGATTCGACGACCGACTATGCATGCGCCCCATACCCGCGCTACTCATTCAGAGGACGGTCTTGAGCGGGTCTCGCACCGAAACTCCGTCTTCGACCCTTCTAGGCTAGAGGAGGACAGAGTCAGCGGCGGGGACGCGTCCCCCTAGGGAAAGGATAGGATACGGCTCTTGATGGGGACTCTATAAATCCCACTCACGAATGTACACCAGTGTCCGATCATCAACAACCAACCAGATATCATCAAAAAGATCGTGTCAGCTGCCCGGCTCAAATGAGACCAGTATAGTTTACTATGTGGTGCTGTGCATTGTGCTGGTAACTATCATAACAACTAAAAACATAGCCAAAAAGGCCGTCTTCTCTACTAAAGTCCCATATAGCGCGGGTAGGCTAACACTTGTCAACTTCTTTAGGAAAAAGCTTCCGCTATGCGATTCATTGCGCTATTTGACGCTCAAACAATGCAACAGAATACATCGAAACACATAACCCCAATGGCGGCAATGTCAATACGCTTGACCAAGGGGCGGTATGGATGGGGGGTGGAGGACGCACGCGAACCGTAGTAGCACATAATGAACGAATAGAGAAACGGATAACAATGATGAAAGTGGGAGGGTGCGTGGGCTATGAGAATTCGAGAGATAACAAGAGCGCATCACCGTTGCCGATTACGTTGACGACGACTCTGTCTTCTCGGTGCGATCAAGCTCACAACATACCGTGCGAAACAGGACTAGAGGAGGGTAGAACTGTTGTCCATACAACGTCATCCATTACTACTTTTTGCTCCGTGAAAAGAAGCCAGTTTTCTTCGCTTTCGCTTGTGCACCTTCTGGTAACGTTTGCGATCGCGAGCCTTCTTCCAAATGCGCTTGACCCGTTGCCAATTGCAATTCCGTCAACCAGCGCTGACAATCTTCCTGAAATGAAAGAGGGAATACTTCAAACCGACTTGTTTTGTTTTTGATTTTCAACCGCTGTTTTTGGCCGCTGACGAGAAGAGCGTCGAGGAGGACCATACACGCCAAGTGACGACGGCGAGAAAGGAGAGCCACGTTCTCCTTGGCTCTCCTCACTAGTAGTTATGGCCTGCACCTCGCACACTCTTCTCGTTTTCCGAAATACAGTATAACGTGTAGCGCAGATGCCCGATAAGCGAGAGGAGCAGGTTTCAGCCTGGGGTGGAAGTTTCGTTCATAACCCAGCATCTTGTAAAACTTCGAGCTGACGTCAACTACCGCATGGAGTGGGATCAGGCATAGCGTGGCAGAATTCCCCGAGCCCAACCTCTTCTCTCTCTCTCCCCACACCTTGACGACTTCCCCACATTTATGGCACCGAACTACAGTTCAGTTAACAGTCGAACTACAGGAGGTATGTAGTTCAACGACTATGTGTCGTTGAATTATTATTGATTGAACTATTATTAATCACACTTCCAATTCCGGCCTGATCCCCTGCCCTCAAAAAAAAAGAAAAAAACAAAAAGTGGACGTGGGAGGGGTCCATGTACGCTAATCCTGCGATTTTATCATTTTCTCCAAGTTTACGGTTCCCACTATTCCCAAACATGACCTAGGAGAACACCAAACCTAACTAAAAACGGTACCAAGGTCAACACCCGCAAAATATGGCCCCCTTCCCAAACCGGAATACGACCCCCTGCCGGGACGCCTGAACCACCGTGAAACCTTACAGCCACAGCTACGCAACAATAGCTCCTTTTTGTTTCTCTGTGGTTTATCCAATGAGTCATTCAATAAGCATATGGCGATCCCACGAGGCCGTAAAATGCAACGGTCTTCAAAGTGTAACAACGTGGAAACCAAAAGTGCCAAAGACAGCCGTAAAAACGCTCACCTCGCTAGCGCACTGCAAAAGATATTCAGCTCCAACTGGCATTCGTAATGATAGCACATTCTTCTTCTTTTGATAATCCTGAGCAACATTCACCGAACATCCCGGTAAACTGACAGCCGGTTCGTTATGGAACGTTGCTCCTTCCTCTCTATAACAAAATTAACTTTTCAGGCGCTCCGATACGGATCCATCACAACACAAATTTATCACTGAGTTTGCTCCATATTAAAAAATAAGACTTCGAGGAAGGCTCAATAACGTACTTGTGCTTGGCATCCTTATAGAACGAAATTTCGTTGTTTCGCAAAACCGCTAGCAGTTTCTCCCACGATCGGTTCGACGCTTTCCTGTCCAAGGATTCATACGTGTGTTTTCGAATAAGTGTTCCTTCGAAGGCATCGCCTGTTTTGGCACCTAAAATAAACGATTTGAATGAAAATGTAAGTCCCGAAAAGTTTCCTACAGTAATGGCTTTAATGCTGCAAAATCTTACACAGAGACTGGCACGAAAGCCAGTGTTACGCGATTCGACATTAGCTAAAACGTTCCCAGAGTCATCGCGCTTGGCCAAATCCAAAAACTTCTACGACCACCCTCTTTAGATGGCTTTAATACGACCCCCCCCCCCACCACCACACCACGTGAAGAAGGTCACTCATGAGCGCAACCTCCCTCTACCACTCCCCAACATAACATAAATTGCAAATACGACTCTCCATCAAAATTGAACAGACAGATACTTGACCCCGGATTGAACACATGCTTGGGCGGCGAGCTATGCTGTGTTCCTGCGACCAATCAAAAGGAAACTGCTGCAAACCACAACTGGAGACCTAGAAGCCCCAAAATGAGAACGAAGACCAAAAGTGGCAGAACGGAAGAACGCTAAAGGGTTATTGGGAGTTTACGTTCCTCAGCAGGGTCAACCGTCCATTTAGACAATCCGAAAGGGGGTCTTTCAAGAGCTGCACATTTTGAATGTCGTGGGTGCGGCGGGGGAGGGTCCTTTCCTAACAATTTTGGCGAAAACTTGAGGGAATAAGCGGGAGACAGGTGGAATTTTGTTTCATTGGATAAATTTACATTCTTATCCTCCCCTCTCTCTCCCCCTCCCACTCCACCCCCCCCCCCAAAAAAAATTTCCTCGACGGCCACTCTGGAGGAAAGACAAGGTGGAATCGGGCTTGTGTCGACTGGTCTCTGTATCAAATAACGCAGCAACGGCCATGACGGGGAGGAAGGTAGTGCGGAGGAGGGGTAAGGTTTACTAGGACAGAAAGGGACTTTTCCCTATTCGCGAGCGAAACTTTATTCGTTGCAACAACTCCGGGTCCACTTTTGAGCAGTGGTTTACCTGGAATTTCCGCAATAAAAAGGTTTCGCGCGCGAAAAGCGAGAAACCGCTTTCTATTCTAGTGAACCACACTCATGGTCGGGGTTGAGTGAAGGGGTGGGGGTGTAAAATTTTTGGATGAAGAAATGCGAACACGGCGGTTAATCGTGCTGTACGTACCACTACCTCCTCTTGCTCAAACACCCCTGCAGGGGTGGTAGTGATGGCAAGACCGTGTGCGGGACACCCTCGTATGAGTCGACGGATTTCGATATTTGTCTAATGTGAAAGGACCCTCAACCCAGTCCGTGATCTCTCGGAAGTCCAAAAACGAAGGGCCGGGTGCAGGGCAAATTCGATGGGTGCAATTTGATGATTCCTTTTCTCTTCCCAGATGGATGATGCTATTGCCTTGGTGGGTCTCCGCTCTCAAGGACTGTTCCTTCCTACCCCAGATAAAGTTGAGGGACAAAACAAGTTTGCAAAACTGTGTCAAAATCCAAGGTATTAGTTCAAAACAGCAACCAAAATCAATTAATGAGTAGTTCTTTCAACACAAACGATCGGTAGAACTCAATCAATCTTAACAGAACTGATGAGTGGAACGTTTTTACCACTACAAAGTCAACCACTGCAGAAGCTCTCGTCGGCTCAGCCCACACATTTTGATGTCATGACTAACTCAACAAACTGCACTCACGACGTTTCGTACAAGAAATCTCACAAACTGATCGATTAGACCGCTTAACTTACCACGAGGATCCTTCGAATCGAACTTAGGGGCACGAGCGAGTGACATTCGCCAACCACTACTTTCACCAGTGGACAGCCGACTGCGTTCTGCAACCTGGCTGCACTATCACAACACAACAACAGCAAGCAACACAACGACAACAAAAATCACTCAATTGCATTGTACAAAAATAAATTTGATCACGAAGACCCGGAGCTGTTAGATTAGGTAACACACGCGGTAATGAGGTAACCATGAAGGACTGATTTCTTCGGAAAAAAATTCGAAATCTTCCAACTGTGGAAAGTGAGACTCTTGCAGGTAATCAAAGTTTCAACCAGCAATAAACGCACCTCGGCAGAGCCTCATTGGTCACGTTATCGCCTCTGCGCAAAGCTTTAATCGCCACTAACCAGGGAGATTTTTCAGGAAATGCCCAGCTTTCTCCAAACGGTTTCCTGCATGATATGGATTTCAAAACTGTATTTCATTTTTCTTAAGTGACCCCTTCTATGCTCAAAAAGGAGATCCAAAAACTCAACCGACACACCTTTCTGGCACCAGTTTCAGGTAAAAACCTGCTCGTATGGTCACAAGTGGTTCTGACTCTGATATGAAATCCACCACTAGTACCATTTTGGGACATCACGCAAGCGCCAGTCGAAAATGCAAAAAAAATTGTCACCACGAGTATTCGAACCACAAACCGCTTCCCCCTCTCTTTTTGGCATTCACAGGACCGTTCAGGAAAAATGGACTACAGTTCTGTGACGTACCCTATATGTATTATGAAAGAAACCGTTCCGAGAAAGCTGGGCTTTCCTGAAAGACACCCTTGTCACATCGACCTCATTTTCTCAGTAGCTCTTCAATGGTTGTGGTGGTCGTTAGATCACTAGCGTTCCAGGGCTCCATACGGGAGGTTTCCTATCCGGGGGCCACTCTTACGTCACCGCTTCTCTACAGGAGCAATCTGGCGATGTGAATCAGCTCCAGCTCTTGAATAGGCAGGTCTAAACTTATCTAACCTAAACTACGTTACGGTTGGAAAGGGTTAGTAAGAAAGGAAAAGTACTAATTTGGTTGCGATTAGATAAGCTCTCAATTGAAACAGTTAGTGATATCTCTTTGATCCTCCTGCCCCTGAATTAGTACAATATTTCCCTCTTAACCACAATGGGCTGCAAATGAGCGGTACCCCCTCCCAACGTCCCCTATCCTTTTATAAACAAAATAGAAACAAAATTAGCTGACTGTGAAGAAGCTAACCCAATGTGCTACTTCTTGGCGCTCCACCGCTGTCGACACTGCTCAGCGTCATATTGAAGTCTGCAAATTCACGGCACATCACAATATGTTTCACTATATCCTAACGAAAGCTCGTCAACCAAAAAGTCGTCAACTGGGTTTTAAATAAACAGTTGCCAAGAACTGGACGACTTTTCGAACGACCTACGCTTTATACTGGACGCTCATGCAGTCACTTCACTAGGTTGCAAATTTACTAATCAAATTACTAATTAGATAGCAAATTAGAAGAGCAATAGAAGCAAAGGATCATGCATGTGCTTGGCCAATGCCTATCTGGACATCGATGGCCGAAATTCGTACAAAATGTTCCAAGGAAATAACATGGCGTATAGATGATTTAGAAGTGGAGATTAGACTGATCCACTTCAGAGCTCTGTGAACTATTACAAAATGAATCATACCGTCCGGTTCCGCGCCGAATGATTCGTGAGGCTGCGATCGCGACGGACTGCCGAGATGGCCACGCCTTCTTGCTGCCTCCTCTTCTTGTCGCTGCATTTCTTTCAATTCGAACTGAAATTCAAATGCTCTTTTTTTCACATGCGTTAGTATATCTGCAGACAAAAAGACATAAAATTATTTAGAAATTATTGCTAAGATAAATAAGAAGTAAACAATAGAACAAATAAGGTACCAAACACAACAAGCATTCTAAACCGACGAAACATGGTGGAAGAACAAACCTAATCAAAGTAGCTCAAACGCTTCCGAAATTAAAGGTTGAGAAGATGAACCCATAAAAATGAAATTTCAAGCTTCATTTTTTGTCTAAACTTGAAGAACAAAAAATCAGAGGACCAAAATTGCTCATTCCCTCGATTGAACCTGCTAACAACAATGCCTAAACTGATTTATGGAGGAAAGGGAACTGCATCCATGACGAAAACTATGCCATTTGCATTGTCATGCGAATCCCACCAATTCATACATTTTCCCAGGCTTCTTCATCGAATGCAACTCTGATTTCGATATTGACAAGCACGTAAAACGGATCTCGAGTATCCGAATGATTAAGAGCCCCGCGCAGATCAAACAAAAAATTTACACAAAGCCTCAGTTTGTTTAAATTTGCCATCAGTAAAATGTGGGAGACACACAGGAAATGTCCAAACAAAAGTACACAGCAAGGAAGAATAATCGAAAGAACTAACCGTGGTCAGCTTTTCTAAAGCAAGGAATCGTTCTTCTTGTGCAGCCGCCGATTTTTCAAAGGCTTCGTGTCGTTTGATGAGGGCTATCGTCTCTTCCAGACTTCGTCCATATTCGCGTGATATAAGATACGGTTCTTGTGCCATAAGCCATGATTCCGCAACTGCGGCATCTCGGGCAAACTGGTAGACTTCGAGAACTACAAATGACAGGTAATTAGGTTGCCTACTCAGTAAAACGAACCAATAACAAAAATGGTTATTCAGACGATTCACTCACTAAGTTGCAAATACTCCCATCGATCCTCCCATCGTCGCATCATCTCTGCTCGTTCCGTCGTCAACTTTATCAATTTCTTTTCTATCTCACTGGATGCATAATGTTTGCGATTCAACAAATCCCGTCCAAGTGAAATACATGCGTTGAAATTATCTTCTCGAGCATCGATCTCCGCCTGATAATGATTATTGATAATTTTCAGTACAAACAGTTTTGATGAGACGGGAAAAAAGAGCTGAAAATCGAAATTGAAATAGAGCTAACTGGAAGCTACCTTCAAACTCTGGTGATTGTTCATCAACAACTCAACACCGCTAACATCCTTTGGTCGTTCTTGGCTTGTCATCTCTCGTTTAACTTCATCCATCCACAACAGAAGGTCACTAAAGTACCAATTTCTGACGAGAAGTACAAATAGCACTTTGGCTCGGATTTAAGCACCGCCCAAAGCTTCCGACTATAGGGGTTTTCTCGGTAAATATTAAAAGGGATCAATATAGATGCTCAAGAGAGATAAAAATAAAGCTGAGGGAAGGTAGCCATTTACTTACCGGACCATATTCATGAAGCGGAACAGGTCTGATGTATCTGTAAGACGAGATGTTCGTGCGTCACACAATCCTCGAAGATGTCTCCATGCCTTCACAACTTCCGATTCACGTGCTGACATTTCTAGGGCTCGTTCTCCAGCGTATCCGTCACGGAGTTCGCTGGCATCACGCTCAATTTGAGCCACCTTAATAATAATCGTAAGGACGTAGAGCTGACTGTGAGAACGAAAAGTCAAATCAAAAGATGATGGAGTATCTGACAGCCGTATTCAAACCGCGAAACGATGAAAATTAGCTCAAACTCTCGAACCTGTTCTCCAATTGCATCAATATCCTTCAAGAAGTTTTGATGTTTCCTGGACAATGCTCCGACACTGCTTGAATCTCGGCCCAAATCCTCTGGCATTGCATGAGTCTTCTCCAGAATTCGCGAAAGACAATCACGGCAATCATGGAAGAATCTGAACAAAGGTGGAGCATTGAACTGCTGAACTCACTTCCCGAACTTAGGGTAACTCACTTATGCAGCAGACGACTCGACTCCAGCATTTGAGCACGAGTGTCAATCAGCTCCAGTAGATTTTCCCACGCCTCATTGAGGCTGTCCTTCCAAAGAGCAATGGTCGGGGCATCAGTATGACCAACAGCGATTAACTGCAAATGACAATTTGATAGAGAACTTTCAGCGGTTATTATAATTATTCTCATGGGATTTTATAGACGATTTTTCACATCAAACTAATGAAGATGCTTAAACTATATTGTTTCCGATTCCGACGAGGAAAATATGGAAATGCGGGGTTTCTCACAGAGTTCACCTCTGTTACCAATACGGGAATAACTCCAAAAAATGTTGTTTTATTTATGGAACAAGTCAAATTATCGGAAGCCGTTTTCCGAAATTTGGTGACTAATCACAAACTGACCGCATCACAGCCATCGTTAGCACGGGCTACTCGTTCCGATCCGATGTTCTCTGTGTCTCGAGCAAACTGTTGGAATCGCTCTTGCAGCATTTGTACGTGCTCATAGTCTTGACCGTTCTCTTGGCTTCCAGCTACCACCTTCAAATCAATGATTCCATTTTCCGCTTTAATCGATTTTCACGCACTACCGACCTCCTTGTCTGCAATCCACTGAAGCAGATCATCGATCTCACGATGAAGAGCGTACAATTCCAAAGTCTCGTCAAGTCTCTTTCGGCGTTCCTTAGATAGGTCTTGGAGACCAGCATACAGCTTCTCAATCTGAGACTGTCGCAGGGCGATTTGATCACTAAAAAAAAGATTCAACCCCGAAAATATACAACAACTTAGAATAGCTGTAGAATTATACAGTCGGTGACTTAAAGAGGAATAATAATCGCAAATCCATTCCGGGAATCTTTATTTACCTTAGCGGGCTTCGCTCATCCACAAACTTCTGCGCCTTGGCAGCCAGCTGCCGAATGGTGTCGGCAAACTTGTCAATATCGGATTGAAGACGCTCATGCTTCTTGATCTGGTTCCTGGTGGAGAACTCGTCTTTACCACGTTCATCCTAAAAAGTTAGCATTATGGAGATCAATTTCATGAAAGGACATCAATTTTCAAAGTCAAGAAGAAAATAGAGAAGCAAGGAGCTTTCGATTTTCATTTATTTTTGAAAAAAAAAACGAGTAATTTATTAGCCAGAAAAAAACGAAAGTGGGGAAACATCATTGGGATGAACTGCATTACCTGCATCATGTACAGCTCTTGCTCACTCATCCAAGCTTCGGCCTCTCCACAATCGTAGAGGAACTGATGCGCTTTCTCACTTTCCGCAAGTCTACGACAAAGGAACATCACGATAATATACAAGCGTTACGGAAGGAGCAGATGGAGGATTGTGATCGTTACCTGTCTTTTCTGTCCTTGATTGCGTCCTTTAGCTCTTGCCATGCATCACGCAATTCAGCGATGCGTTGCTCGAAAGCGGCCGAGTTTTCATGACCTAGAAAAAGCTATCCTTAGCAACGATTGTTGCCTTCTGATGAGAAACCATTAGCATACTTTAATAGAACACCAAAACTGCCCAAAATCTTCCAATATGTGTTCTACACTTATAAACAGCCCCATACCCTTCGA